AGTATCATCTCTATATTCATATTTGCATTCCTTTTGGCACTGCCATCCCAATATAATTCTACATTTACAAAATGTTTTTATTACTTGTTTTGTAAAATTGTATTCTATAGATGTGTGTAATAAAATTTAATATGTGGATTGATTTTTTTTTTTTTACTCCTTCACTTCGTGCATAATATAGGGGTTGGTTCCCTAAAGACAGCAACTGTATAGTATACAAAGCATTGAGTATTCTACACATTATAGTCACCTAATGTTCATCTAATATTGGCTGGTAATTCCTGTTTCACCCTGTACTTAAGCTTTTTAAAGGAACACCAGATTTCTGTAAAAAAGCTATCTTCAAGGGGTAATAATAACATCATTTTACACTAGAATTACGAGTTGCTCTTTTAAATTTCTACTAGTTATTATGATTAAGTAATGACATAGTGCACTGCCCAGAAACACATAGAGTCAATTTAGGTTTAAAGTGATCTTAGTGATAAAGTACCTGTAGAGTTATCTCAACCGAAACACTTGCTGTTTTGGTATCTTAGTGATGGTTTCTTGCCTTGTTTTGAGGCTTGTTGGGTAGAGAAACAAATAAAAGTGATTGGCAATCACCTTTTAAAGTAAAACTCTGTTACTGTTGATTTTTCAGCAAGTATATTTGTATTACTCTTCTTAATACCTTGGCCATCCCTACATACAGAGTCTACTGACTCTTATGATAAAATGCTTATAGGATTTGTTTTTTGACAAATTTCAGTAGTTAAGGTGCCATCTTTGTCTCACATTTTCAGAAACCAAGAAAAATGTGTTGTTTATTCTGTTATTTAAATTTAGTGGTAGATTTTTGGTTAGTAAGATGTTAAGCTTGAACGTCTACATTACTTACAATGGAAAACACATTTCTAATGCTTGACGAGGCCATGGAAAACATTTTAGGACATTAAGTTAAAAGTCTCTCATATATATATATATATATATATATTTGTTACAATACCAAACAACAGTAAGCCCATCACTGCATCAAATTTTTACTTCTAAAGTATTTTATTAAGATCAAAACAGAACTAATGTAACATGTGGGCAAATTGTATCTTTTCTTCCTCCTATAGTTATGTATATACATTTTAAAAATTATTTAGTTGTTTAATTTCCATGCTATAATTCAGCAAGATGTGGCTCTATTGTAGGTAAAGCCTATTCTGCCAGAGAGGATATTGCAATAACATATAGCATCTGGGTTGAAATGACTGACAGTATAATATCCTTTGCTGGTTGAGTTGATAGTAACTAGATATAGCAGCCAACCAATGCTGTGAGAAGATAAAGGCCTAGAGATGATGTTGTCCACTACACCACTACAATTTAACCTGTTGAATTCAGGTATGCTTTCTTTAGCCAGTACTACTATGAGATTGTGGAGAGAAGATAATACTTAAAAACCTTTGTGTTTAGTTCAACAGAAGTCAGTTTAAGAAACAACAAAAAACATTGGAGCTAAACACACTCTAGTACAATTGTACTTTGTCTCTTTGTAACAATAAAGAGTTTTGTTTCATTTATATAAATTTGTCCAGTCTCATTATTCTATATTTAAAGAAACTCAGTCAAGTTATATAAAAAAAACACTTGCCTTATTTCTTGATCTAATATGTTGTTATTTGTGGAAAATTGGTATTATCTGAATATACCACACTTAACAATCTCAAAAGACAAAAAATAGTTCTATTGTTTGAAATGACAAGTTTCAAGATACAACCTGAAAGTCCCTACAACTTCCCTTCTTTGGAAATATAGAAAGAAAACAGGTGCTGCTGCAAAATGAAGCCTTTTTTTCCTTTTTGGTTATTTGGGAATAAGATACATTTGCAACCAACTGGATAGTGTCATCCTTATTTAAAATTCAACCTTGTTCTTAGGTCACAGTATCTAAAACTTAGATATATGTTGCTCTTTAAACCTGATAACAGTAAATTTTGTTTGTTTTCTTTTGTAAAAGTTTGAATATGGTAGATTCTTCAGTTAAGATGTTATTGCTTACTACTGCAGGGTTGTAGCTACAGTTGGCAGGTCTGCCCAGTACTCCCATGCAATGTGACTATTGCCACCCAGAACTAAATATCACAGTGAAAAAGTTCACCATAAGCATGAAAAATTTCTTTGTCAATTTTGCAGTGCAGTTTACATTGCAATTAGCTTGTAGTAAATAAACACTTTTCCAGAAAAGTCGCTAATTTGTACCAATTACCCACTGTTAAAGATAGATCAATTACAAAAATAAAACTCAGCCTAGTGTAACATTTGTCTCCACCTTTACTTTTTTGGGCTTGTTGTTCACATTATAACACATCTTTGCTTAGTGACTGATCATGTGGAGTGTTTCAGACTTTCCAAAAGAATTCACAAATTTTTCAAAGTCAGATTCTCTGGGGATATCATTATAATGGCTAATAAGCAAACAAAGCTTCTTAATTATTTGGAAAGAAAAATAAGCATGATGCCAATGAAATGGAAAATGAATCAGAAAAAACACTTGCAAGTCCATTTTTTATAGAATCAACTTTGCACAGCATTGTGAATACAATGGAATGCAGCCGTTAGATACCAAAGAAAACTCTAATCAGGGGAACCCTCAATAGGCTTACAAAAAATATGATCAAACATGCATTGGCTTTTGATCACTGATGGAGGAAAAATAGACCATGGTTAAAGTATGTACATAATGAAGGCATGTTTTTCACTTTTTGCAAAAAAATATCACAAAATTTCATTTAGCCAAAATGCTTGGAATAAAACAGGATGTAAGAGGATTCTACTTGAGAGAACTAAAAGTCAAGAGGCCACATAGGAACACAGGGATCTGGTGAGTGCAGAGCTATCATTTGAAGTCGTTGGGAAAGTTGATGATTTAATTATGAAACAACAAGAAATAATCAAGGATGCAATAGTTAAAGCTTTCCAGTGTGTATATTTTTCATGCAAGAATAAGATTGCTCAAACCACAAAATTTGAAAAGTTACTTGATCTAGGAAAGCTGTTGGGTGTTTGCATCAAGAAGACATTTGCAAAGGAAATAATGCAACATACATATCAAATATTGCCATCAGGGAATTTCTAGAACATTTAAGTGAAGTCATTTAAATGGACATATTAAATGAACTAAAATCAATGACAGCTTCGTGCTAATGTTTGATGAAACAACTGACTGTTTTGTTATTGAACAAATGGTTATTCATACAAGATTCATCATAAAAGACAGTGATGTTTGTATAAGATTTCTGAAAATACTGGATGCTTTGTCCAAAGTGCATGTACATCATGATCAGTTAGGAAATCATAGAGATCATAACAGATGTTGATACTGGTGTCACAAATGAAGGATCAGGAAACAATGAACTAGATAAGCAGGTCATTACTCTAAATGTTTATACCACCAGCAAAAAAGTAACAGACTAGATTAAAAACAAGGAACTGGAGAATGAAAAACTGCATGGAATCGGGACAGATGGGCCAGCAGTCATCATAGGAAGAATAAATGGAGCAGTAAAGAAAATAATGGACAAACTGGAAAACATAAAGCCAAATCCAATAGGACTGAGATAAGAGCAATCAATCACCATTGTGCAGCACATAAATTTAACCTGGCAGTTTCCTTTGCAGGCAATCAATTTGTTGTCATTCACAATTTGAAAAGAGTGTTAGGACAGATGTATGCTTTCTATCACAGCAGCACTTTACAGGAGAAAGGAATGTCAGCAGTACAGAAATTGTTGCATGAACCACTAAAAGAAAGTGGCAAGGTGACTAATTCTGCTGAAACAAAGTGGCTAGCTCTTGGACAGTGCAAAATCAAGCACAAGAATATCCTGACCAGTGTCCTCATCAAGACAACTAATTTGTTCCATCTCATGACAAAATTTTGCATTTATAGCCCCACTTTTTCTTCTCTGCAATGTCTTACCAACCATCAATAAGCTGAGTGAGACACTTCAGAAATCAAATCTTGACTTTAACACAGTTAAAATTTCTCTCACAGCTACATCAGCTTCTTTAAAAGAGAATAAGAACATGGACATGACAAAAGCAATAAATTAGACTACTGATCAATTAAAAGCCATAGGAATTCTGGTGAATCACAAGAATTGTTTCCAAAATGATATTAAATAGTTCAGCAAGAACACAACAGTGACATTCGCTGACAAATTAACAGAAAACTTAGATGTGAGATTTGGTGACTCAGATATCACGGCTGCTTTCAGTACTGTTTTTAGTCCTTCCAAATATGTAAGACCTACCTCTATGGATGTACTGCTGCCTACCTTGTGTAAATTGAACATTTTGCTCTCTGACAGGAGCAAACCCTTGAAGAATTATAAGATTTTTTGCACCACAGTGATGCAGCAGCAAGTAACCACTGTGAATCAGAGGGGATGTTGAATAAGCTAACTGCAAAGACAAGCACATACAGTAACATGCTCCCTCAACTTTCAACCCTAGCAAAAATATACAAGTACAATCTTCCCCACACTTTTTTTTTTGGCTGGTCAGGTGGTGTGAGAGATAGTACGATGGCAGCAACTGCAGGCACATGCATCTATGGGCTTAGACTGGTTTTTACCAACCACCACTCAAATCATCGTAGCTACAACCCTGTACTATTGTATGACATAAAATATGAATATTTCTCCTAGTAATACAACTTCAATAATAAACAAAGTATTATAAAAGGAAAAAAGGAAGCAAACAATAATATTCTTAATATAAATATTGCTGTATTACATAGTATGTTTGAAAACATAATCAGAAACAAAAAATACATCAGTATGTACACCATCTAGCTTTAAACTCCTTCATTCTATCAGTTTAATCCAATTGCTTGAGGCAGAAACATGTCAGAGCCAATTGGAATTAAAAATTATGAACAGCTCATAAAATTAAAAAATGAATAACTACAAAATATATTAAATTAATAATAAACAAGTAGTTTCTTAATAACATTTATTACCTACCCCATCTTTATGTTCCATAAGATGAAATTCATGTTCTAGAATTAGGCTGTTTTTCTTGGCTTTCAGCTGTCCTGAATAGCTGTCAAAAGAACACAACTTTTTTAACATGTATTTTTTCATATTTACAAAATTCTAAATCACAACATATCAAAATAATATACAAGTAATACATATATTAAGTATTATGCATTTTGACAAAATACTGTTCTTTGCAGTTTTTTGTAGCTAATGATCTACATACCTCATAATTACGTTTTAGATGTTCTAAAAATAAATGTTGAGGTGTTTACTTTTAAAAACATCTAGATACATTCATTGCTTCTTTAAATATCATAAAATAGTAAGATTTTAAAACATCAATTCATTAAAAACATATAAACCAATGAAAAATTAGTTTATTTATATAAAAAAATAATAAAATACTAACTTATTTCATAAAATACATGAACCTGTCTTAATAACAAATATTAGGCCTCTGGAGATTAAACAATTAAGCTCAAATAATTACACAGCGGATACTCTTTATGTGCTGTCAGCTTAAAACATTGTGTAGTAAGCATGAAAATATACAAGCAGTTAACTTTCGTTACATGTGGAAAAGTGATAACTCAATACAAATAATCTAATCAAGCAGATACAGATTCTAACTAAAGGTAACCAAGAAAAAAAGTTTTAATAACTTGTCATCTGTGCTGTTTAAAAAGTTAAAGAATAGCTTCTTTCTCAAATTTTGAAGTCAGTACTAAAATAATAAAATATTTTGTCAATTAAAATAAAAAACAAAATTCTAATTGTCTTAGCTTCACTTATTCATAATATTATTTCTCAAATACTCATATTAATTATGTTTGTTCCTCTTCTGATAAGATGTTCAGCATATTTTTTACAATAATTCTAATATAAACATTTTTAAAATTATAATTTCCTGAGATACAAGTAAACTATATTTTAACCATAATAATTTTAGCATGTATTTAATAAAACTAGGAAACCATTTTTGTGAATATGATCTATTGTAATGGAGCCCAAATATCACTAAAATCTTTACCCTTCAGAATACACACATATATATATATATATATATATATAGAAACATAAAATTTATTCAACATTTATTTTTAAGTATCAAGAATAACTGATAAAACAGTGGGCACAACAGGTAAAAATACTGAAAAAATACTTATGACTAGTGTTGAGAGAATAATGTCATAAACAAATAAAAAGACTTGTAATAATCCCATTTTCACGACAAATTAAAAGACAAGAGAATAAAAAGTATTAAAGATATGTCAGCTAGATTTACATAGATATCTGGAAAGCATAAGGAAGAATAAGTGTAACAGAATATTTACTGAAGTATCAAATTTGCTTCAACATCATTCTCTGTTCGAGACAACACTGTATTAAAAGCATTTATTAAAAACCATTGGAAGTATATATTTCTCTTTTCCCTGAAAAACAAACTAAAACATCAAATATTGTTATGTACCCAAATTTTTCCTTTTTTCTCCTTCTGTACATTTTAGAATACATACCTAACTTATAAACAGTACTAAGTCACTGAACCTAAAAGCTTTTACATAATCACATGATCAAAAACAAAATTAATTTGAATTTGGATAACACTTCAAACAAAAGAAAAAACATTAAACCCTACACACATCTGCTCACCATCTACAAAACATTTCTAACGTGTTGGTCAGATACTAAACAAAACACATTACTTTACTACACAACATTTACATCATCATACGGTATATTTTAACACTTAACTCTCTCACTACAGGTTTGGTCAATTCAGCCAAGTTTGTGACCCCAAAATTGACCGTTAGAGCTTCCATACTATAAATTCTAATATGTTTTGTGTATTTTCATGAAATTTTGCAAGCTTTCAGTAAACACTACATCTTTTGTAAACGAAAAGTCAGCATTTATAAGAAAAAGTTTTACCAAAAATTTCTCCATGAATATATGGAATCAAAGTGTTTTACTGCTCCAAGTGCAGTGATTTTCATATTAGAATTAAATATACTTTTCTTCATATGAAAATTGACAAATTTCATTTGTGTAATCTCTAAAACCTTCTAAATAAATTTCAAACGTTTTTTCAGTAAAACTTTATATTTTATCTGTTATTTTTCTATAGCCTAACTCTATATGGACTTGATCGATTTCACTGACCTTGTAACCACCACACAAAAAAAGAAGGGAATTAAATCTAAATTACCCTTTCTTTCTTTCTAAAATGAATGCAAATTTAACAGTATTATATATTTTTTCATCTTACCTTATATAACCTAACAAGTTTCTATTTTTTACATTTTAGTAACTTTTATAATAATAAATAAAGAATACACATAAAAAAAAAGAAATATAGTACATACCTGGATCTTTATTTTTGCTGTAGACTGCTGATGAAACTTAATTCAACTTTTTTATACTAATAGTATTGATACACTAACTATATATATATATATTTAAATAATGCACACAAGGACACAGAATAAAAACATGTAAAAAACATACAATGTCCAATAAATATCATAATTTTTCTGGCTTTTTCACTATTCAATAAGAGCCGTTGAAAATTCAGCTAAACTCGCCATGTGTTTCCTGTGGGAATAAAGTTTGAACTGGAAGCAGAATAGACAATTTTCTGTTCAGAAAACAATGTAATATAATACATCATTTGATAGTTTAAAACTTCAGCTTTCTAGTGGTTATAAATTTAGTATTTAATATCAGAAAGAACTATTGGCAATTTGTGAAAGAGAAGATATGACAGATGGGCATGGCAAGTGGATCTGATTTTCTAGTTTATGGCTCTGTAAATAAATAAGAATGAAGGCTATAAAAATTGTGCTTTGCCTGAGTAATAACTATATTATATAATGAGTAACTTATATTCAATTTTACATTTCTTGGAGAGATGATAAATAAACTATAGAGCAAATGTTACAAGTCTCAAACTAGGGGAGATTGAGGATTTTTAAAAGTATTTCCTTATTTAATTAAGAGCTAAAAATTATATAATATTAACTGTTGATTTATTAACTACATTTATGTCAAGTTTATTTGTACACCATAATAATAAAGTAGTTTAATTAAATTTTGAAAATAACTCTCTACAAAGTTGTGATATATGCACTTAACCTGCCCATGGTGAGAGGGTTACTCATCTGGATGAAGAGTAAGTAAAAATGCATACATCAAACATTTTTACAAAATTACATTCAAAATTAACTTAAACTACTTTATTATCATGTATGTCAATAAACTTGGCATCAAAACATAGCTAAAAAATCAACTTACCAACACTGAAAATGCATTTCTGATAGTCACTCACCTCTTCTTACATCTAGCTTCCCTGATTCAGTGCTGCCCTCTATATGCGCACTTTTTTGCTAACCACTAGCCTTGAGGCTCCCACTCAGTCTCATGTGTTTCCACATGACATTGTTGCATGCAAGTAAGCATGTAACAATCGTCCACCAATAGCAGTGCAACACTGCCTCCAAGTGCAGCTGGCTCCCCACCAGAAGTGGGGAAGAAAGGTGGGAGGTGTAAGAGCAAGTGAGTATCTGTCAGAAATACATTTTCAGTGTTGGAAAATGTTAACTTCCAATATACTACATAACCTCCTCTCATATCTAGCTAGAATGCCACACTGAAGTGGTGGAGGGACTGGTGCAAAATTTTAACTAGATGAGCCCCCTTCAGAAAGTGCCCGAAGAGAACCAGTGGATTGTGTCACCCTATAACTTGGAACAATATTGGAGTAAACTCATGGTAGACCACACCTCGACTGTACTAGAACACACTTTTCGCTGCCAGAAAAAAACAGAGAAGTATTGCAAAGACAAGCAGAAGTGCTAAATGTGTAGTGTGACTATTGCATGTCAGACCATACATGGTGAGTCAACTCCAGTCTAAAACCATGCAGCATCTGGGATTCGGCTTCCAGGCCATAGTAAGAAGAGAGTCCCTAACATCTTCATCTCAAGACCAAAGAGACAGAATGGGAAAGTAACAATTGCCTTGCAACTAAGTAAAGACTTATGTTGGCTGGTCCTGCACCAATCCAACACTAGAACACCCAAGAACCTGACTTCCAGAGAGGTAAACTGTTCTACATGAACAGTACACCACTACCCTACTCTTTACAGGGTGGAACAGGAGGCATCCTTCATGGTCCACTATCCCAGCAGCTAGGAACTGGTTAGTGGCAAGACTCCCATGTTACGAGGAGATGAAATTATGGTGGGAAGTCCATCAACATTAGACAGTGCAACAAGAGACCATGAAAACCCTATTTTTAGAAGCAAGCAAGCACTAGGTTTTAAACTAGGCATGGAGAATGGGCAGAATTCCTCTACCTCCTTTACTCAAGCTTGTCCATGACTGGGTACGGTCTGGATTGGGCCTTGTTTAGGAAAATGAGCACTGTGAGGATACCTAGAGCAGCAGTCTTAAGTAACACCCCATCTCATGAGTGAGCACTATATTGGGCCAGGATAGTCCTACACTGTGCAGATATTGATTAAGTATACCCTGGCAGACAACACTTGACACTAAGAGGGATCCTGTAATGGATGAGAGGGCTCTGTAAAAAGAGAGTGAGAAGAAAAGAAAGATGGTATGACATGTGGAGAATAGTGACTAGAGGCAGTCCATAGCCTAGTGAGGGAGAAATGAACAGATGATGGAGATAGTGTGTAAAAAAGTTGTTGTGATGGTCATCCATATACCAGTCCGAACAATTTTCTCCAACAGATCATGGAAGTGAGCAGCCAATGAGTGAGTTAAGTGATGGATTTGATAGGAAGACACCTGGAAAAGCTGATATGCATCTCCATCCAATAAAGAATATACTAGATAAGAGTAACAGGAGAAAGATTGTAAAAAGATAAAGGATTCCATAGAATGAAGAAATGAGAACCAAGAAAGGAAGAAGTGCAGACCACATAACAATGGACCACAAGAACATGACAGAGGGTGCAATTGCGATCCAAACATGTATACAGATGAGAAATGGAAAGAAGAGATATAGGGGTGAAAGCACTATCATCCTACATATCG